AATTAAAAGCAAAAATGAACTATTGGGACCTCATGAAGATAAAAAGCTTCTGCACTGCAAAGGAAACAATCAACAAAACTAAAAGGCAACCGACGGAACGGGAAAAGATATTTGCAAATGACATATTGGACAAAAGGCTAGTATCCAAAATCTATAAAGAACTCACCAAACTCCACACCTGAAAAACAAATAATCCAGTGAAGAAATGGGCAGAAGACATGAATAGACACTTCTCTAAAGAAGACATCCAGATGGCCATCAGGCACATGAAAAGATACTCAACGTCACTCTTCATCAGGGAAATACAAATCAAAACCACACTGAGATATCACCTCATGCCAGTCAGAATGGCTAAAATGAACAAATCAGGAGACTATAGATGCTGGAGAGGATGTGGAGAAATGGGAACCCTCTTGCACTGTTGGTGGGAATGCAAACTGGTGCAGCCACTCTGGAAAACAGTGTGGAGATTCCTCAAAAAATTAAAAATAGATCTACCCTATGACCCAGCAATAGCACTGCTGGGGATTTACCCAAGGGATGCAGGAGTGCTGATGCACAGGGGCACTTGTACCCCAGTGTTTATAGCAGCACTTTCAACAATAGCCAAATTATTGAAAGAGCCTAAATGTCCATCAACTGATGACTGGATAAAAAAATTGTGGTTTATATATACAATGGAATACTACTTGGCAATGAGAAAGAATGAAATATTGCCTTTTGTAGCAATGTGGATGGAACTGGAGAGTGTTATGCTAAGTGAAATAAGTCATACAGAGAAAGACAGATACCATATGTTTTTACTCTTATGTGGATCCTGAGAAACTTACCAGAAGACCATGGGGGAGGGGAAGGGAAAAAAAAAAAGAGAGGGAGGGAGCCAAACCATAAGAGGCTCTAAAAAACTGAGAATAAACCGAGGGTTGATGAGGGGTGGGAGGGAGGGGAAAGTGGGTGATGGGCATTGAAGAGGGCACCTGTTGGGATGAGCACTGGGTGTTGTATAGAAGCCAATTTGACAATAAATTTCATGTTGAAAAAAAAAGAAATAAAAGGCTCAGTAGCTATATATAAAGTAGCAGTAGCATCATGAGAGCCGGGTGGAGGATGTTGTCAACTCAATGAGATCAGGGCGTGTACCTGTTCACTTACTATACCCCAGCACCAAGCATGTGGTAAGTCTACCAGAAATATCTGTTAAGTAAATGAGGAAATAGTTTAGGCCTTTCTCTACTCTCAGGTAGGATCACTACAGAAACTGCTTTATTTAATAGTTATTTCAATCAGTGTTGTTTTTTTTCTTAATTTTCCTTGGAATATAATCATAGATGCCAAACCAAAAGTATGCAAATATAAAAATTACTTGTATTTTCTAGTGCATTTAGCTCTTGTCTCAAAGATTATAAGGTGAAATGAAAATCTGGTATTAGTAAACTTTATTCTACTTCCCCAAATCTGTATTTCTAGAAACTAATTTGTATTACCTGCTGCTTCATGGAGTGTTTTCACTGCGTCCCTAGAAATTTCAACTTTTCAAAAACTTAACATGCCATTTCATTCACATTAGTCAAAGGGAGGAAGCAACCCAAGTGTCTGTTGATAGATGAATGGATAAACAAAACGTGGATACATACAATGGAGTGTTCTTCAGGCTTAAAAAGGAAGGCAATTCTGACACATGTCACAACATGTATGAACTCTGAGGACATTGTGTTAAATGAAGTCAGTCATTCACAAAAAGGGAAGTATTACATGATTCCACTAACACGAGGTACCTAGTGTAGTCCAATTCAGAGACAGAAAGTAGAACAGGGCTTGCCAGAGGCTGGGGGCAGGGGAGGAAATGGAGAGTGCTTAATGGGGAAGGTGAAGAAGTTCTGGAGATGGATGGGAGTAATGATTTCGGCACAGTGTGAGTGTACAATTACCTGGAAATTTATCAGGGCTCTTCTCACTCACCTTATGTGCCAAAACCAATCGCCAAATCCTTTGGATTTGATCTCTGAAAGTGCCCCTTCCGTGGATGCTGCCTTAGTTTTGGCTCTTGTCATTTCTCACAACTGCAAGTCTCCTAACCACGCTCGCTGCCTCCAAACTCACCCTCTAAGCCATTTCGATAGGAAATGGCCTTTCAAATGATCTTTCTAGAATTCAGATATCATCACACCACTCTTCTGAATAAAATCCTTTAACCTACAGCTAAAATTCAACTTCTATTTTTACGGCAAAAATGGTCTTTCAGGACCTGACTATTCCATTCCTTCACAGGCTCATCTCCCCTAATGCCCTTCACAAACTCTAGCCATTCTGATCTTCTCAGGTTCTTTTATGCCTCTACATCACAGCACATGCTCTACTAGAATGTCTTCTCTCCTTTATCCATATGGATAACTCTTACTCTTCCTTCCCAAATTAGACCAAACAACCAGTTCTCAGGAGAACCTCCTCTAATCTACTTGCTCCCCTTTCTCTAACCATAGGGTTCCCTCACCCCCACTCAGCAGTTTCCTTCTTTGTATTCGCACCATTTCTTCAATCTACTGCATGGTATTTTATTTTATTTTTTAAAAATTTTTTTTTCAACGTTTATTTATTTTTGGGACAGAGAGAGACAGAGCATGAACGGGGGAGGGGCAGAGAGAGAGGGAGACACAGAATCGGAAACAGGCTCCAGGCTCTGAGCCATCAGCCCAGAGCCTGACGCGGGGCTCGAACCCACGGACCGCGAGATCGTGACCTGGCTGAAGTCGGACGCTTAACCGACTGCGCCACCCAGGTGCCCCCTGCATGGCATTTTAATATTTACCAAGAGCAAAGGCTCTGGAGCCAGATTGCCTAGGTAGGGATCCCACCCCAGCATTTGGGGTACAACCCTGTCAAGTTACTTAACCCCTCTGAGCCCTGGTTTCACTAGTTATAACGCGGATGATCATATCTACCATGGAGAGCTGTTGTGAAGAATGAATGAATGACCATACATAAAGTGCTAAGAACTCCACTTGGCTCCTAATAGGTAGCCTTGTGATGACGATGGTACTAGTAATGGTAGTAGTGTCTGTGACACAGACAGATAGCTCCTCAAAAGTAAGGTGTTCCTAGAGCCTCAAATACCAGTCACTCAAATAGTATTTATGGGAACAAAAGAGAGACAGAAGTTTAGAAGAAAGGAAGGCAAGAAAAGAATTTGGGAAGACTTACCGCCATTTTTGCCCACAGTTCGGAAGCATCTCCAGAAGGCCCGTAAGAATGATGCCCTGTTGTGAGGGGTTGCTTGGATGAAGCTGAATTCCCGAAAGAGAATGTGAGTTCCCTGACACACACTGTTAAAACTGCAAAGAGAAAAATCAAGGAATCATTAGATGGATAGTTTTTGGAAGGCTGGAATCAGAGTGAAAACTCAAGACCAGACAGAACCACTGCCCAAAAGGCGGAAAATCTATTCTCTCCAACAAAGTCTGAACTACAGATTAGATGAAGTCTTTCAATGAGGAAATCTCTTCATGTAACCACATCCTTCTGAAAACTCTTGGAGTCCAATTCCTCTGTGTGCTTCCCACCTCCGACATATATGTACTGAGGGACTTTTCATCAGTCACTGGAACACTTCAGATAGAGGGAAATGTTTCATTCTTTAACTGGATGACATTGGCACTTGTATTTTTGGGGAGAATACTTCTCCTGCCACATTTGGAATTATATTTCCTTAAAGATATTGTTTCTGTACTGTCTCTGATCTACATCAGCTGCCATGAGAACAAAATGGCTCATAGGGACATAACTGGATTGTCTGTTCCAGTTTGGGGGTGATGTATACCTCTCTGACTTTCCTTTGGCAAGTCCATGTGCCAAAGGAAATGAAAGGTTGCAAACAGAACACTAAAGGCAAATAAGAACAAGGGTAAAAAGTGGCCCCTGAATGACAGTATGAAGCAAAGCCCCAGAGCCCAAGTGAGTCATTGTTTAAGCTGGGCCGGGGAAGGGGAAAAAAACATACTCCATTGCTTTTGGGTTCTTCTGCCAGAGAAAGAAAGGCTGTAGAGCCTGGCGTAATCTAAAAATGGAAATTCCACCAAAGAATAGGCAATTATCCAGTAATCATCACAACCAAAGGCAGACTTCAGGTTCCAGAAAACTCCTAAATTCCCTGACAAGTATATCAGGAGTGGAAAATGTGTTAATCTTTGTAGAGAAACAGGCATTAAACTAAAGATGGCAAAGCAATGGAGAGACAGTGGAAATTCCAAATGCCACTTTTCACTTGCTGACCATTTAAAGGGGGGGGGGGGGGGGGGCGCGGGGAGGGCGCAGGAGGGAAGGATCTGAATCTCTGAACCAAACAAGAAAAAATTTCAGGAGCCATCTGTTCCATTTTCCTTTTTCCTGACCAAGTTCTGAGGGGAACATCTAACCTGTCTTTAATATAGAGTGTGTTATCACTTAAGATAAAATTAGCTTCTTCCTGTTAATATTAATAACACTATGAAAAATCAAATTACCTACTCTTCTCCCCGTGGAAAACTAGCATAGAAATCTACTTCTGAGACACTATGAGGAAGTATGAGGAAAACATCTGGTGAAGGATTAGGTTAGAGGAGCAATTTTTAAAAAGCAATGAAAGTGTTAACCTAACCATGCAGTTTGCAATGCTATTGTCTTGAGCAAAGGAAAATGAAAAATAAAGCAAATGAGCTGTTACAGGTAAATGGGGTAGGTCACATTTCTAGCAAATGACGTCTAAAATGATAACAATCTAGTCTAAATTTATGAAGCTATCGAGAAAAGAATTAGTCCCAAAGTATGCTTCATACCCCCCATGGGAAAAAAGCTGGTGTCTAGGTCATAGTCTAGGCTGTAAAGAAACTAATACTAGTGAAATTATATCCTTAATGTAGCTTTTTTAAAATATCTTTTTTTAAAACTAGGGAATAATTTATGCATTGAAGACTCTGGCTGAGACTCATTGTACAGATAAGAATTTACATAAGAAGTTATAAAATAGGAATTTTAAAAAACAAACTGATAGGCCAAGGACATATAATACTGAATACAGTAAAAAGATTTATAATTGTATTTACATTACTGCCTTTAGATAATCCCTACCAATAAAATTCAGCTGGTCAGTATGGAGATCACAATCACTTTACTTAAAGAGTCAATAGACAATCTTAATATAATCAGTGGAAATTATTTTACATAAGATGGCTATAACAAAAAAGCAGAAAATACAATATATTGCTCGAGGCTTTACTGTTTCTCTTCAACCTGAAATATCTTTTCCCTATCTCCATCTGTTAAAATTTCTACCCAGTTTTTCAGGACCATCTCAAATGCCACATTTTGCAAGAAGATTCTTCCCCGATTCTACACTCATGCCCAATTCCCACCACGACTTACTTCTAACTACTGCTACTCACAATCTGCTGCCTTTTTATTTTTTTTTTTTATTTTTTTATTTTCAACGTTTATTTATTTTTGGGACAGAGAGAGACAGAGCATGAACGGGGGAGGGGCAGAGAGAGAGGGAGACACAGAATCGGAAGCAGGCTCCAGGCTCTGAGCCATCAGCCCAGAGCCTGACGCGGGGCTCGAACTCACGGACCGCGAGATCGTGACCTGGCTGAAGTCGGACGCTTAACCGACTGCGCCACCCAGGCGCCCCTCTGCTGCCTTTTTAAAAAGTTATTGGACTGGGGCGCCTGGGTGCCTCAGTCGGTTGAGTGTCCAACTTCGGCCCAGGTCATGGTCTCATAGTTCGT